TTGTAATTTGGGAGTAAATGTTACTCACCAAGCTAATATTCCAATCGCAGATTGGATTTCCAATTGGCAAAGAGTTTTGTGTGATAAAAAGAGGGATCTTGGGGAAAGTTATGCCTTGTTTATAGCTGGCTTGGAGTGCATTTGGGTGGCAAGGAACAACTTGATCTTCAAGAAAACCAAGCAGAACGCCTTGGCTACTATAAAAAAAGTAGAGCACAATGTGACTACTTATAAGCAAACTAACACCTTAGATGAGTGTGCTGAGATGACTGATTCAGAGAATGACCACCCTCCGGGGTTTGACACCACAAGCGTAAGAAGCAAGAAGCGTGGTCAAAGTAGCTCAGTTCAACTTATTGCAGGGAACATGGGTTGCAGGAGGGCTATTCTTAGGCTATGCAAAATTAATAGCAGATAGAGCAACTGCTGGAATTGGGAGCTGGAAAGCACTGATGGTTGTACTCACAAGGGAGAGGTCCAGCAGCATGTAGCTGATGTAGCAAATAACATGGTGGAGTCAATGCTCGAAGGTGTTAGTTGGGCTCTTAAGATGAAGCAGTTGCATTTAGAGGTCACTACTAAAGACAGACAACTGGTTAATTGGATGTAGGGTGATCTCACAGGAGCTATGAATGCCAGAGGAGCTATTAGCAAGATCCAATGTTTACTGCCTTTTTTCCATTGTTTTAGTATTATTGTTGGTCCTGGGGACTAATTCCCTGTTATCTCAGCTGTTAAAAAAAAAAAAACATTGCTGAACAAAACATCAAATTTATAATAAAGCACAATTAACTAGGGGCACACAATTAATTCAATAAACGAATTATGTAAATAAAAGAAAATTAGCAATGATATAAATTTAAAGGAAAACTTCCCTGATTTATTTCCTCCATTAATCATTCATTGCATGAACTTGATTACTCCTCTAGAGCCCTCCATAAATAGGTAAGGTTTTCCTGCTTCCTTCGTTCCACTGCTCACACCTTTTATCAGATAAGCCAAGAGAATGCCCCAGTCTACTTCTCTTTGTTCACATCCATTAACAATGCCAATTGTAGGGTCCCCTTTTGAAGAATGAAAGAATCTTCGTACCAAATTATCATGAGGGAAAATGCTCAAGAACACACGCCCTATTATTCCCTTGACTTTACTTCCACCATGTGGGACTTAAAAATATAAATACATCAACACAAAATCAGCCTCCCACAATTGTTATTTGCATAATAAAACGTAACCCAATAAGTGGGTATTATATAGGACTTGACGATTTGCATAATAACATTCATTGGCGGTCCCCAAATCCATAAAAATATAATTTTTTTTTTGTGTTTCGACACTTAGCAAAACATCGAAATTGATACATTTGAAATATTCTTTCTACTCCAATTCGGCATAATTAAAGGAAACAATAGTATATTATATGATACTATTTTCCTTCTGAATCGTTTGGTAAAATCACCTTTGATTTTGATTAAAATTAAATTTTAATGTTAATTGATAGGTTGTTTAGAGCTTTGGTGTTGATAACGTGTAATAAAGTGAGGTTAAAATATGAGAGATGGAGAGAGAATTAATAACTGTGTTCTCCTTGTATTTCATATAATGGAGGTATATATATATATATATATATATATATATATATATATATATATATATATATATATATATATATATATATATATATATATATATATATATATATATATAGTACAATTGATAGGGTTTGCTTGGAGAATAATAAACCCTAAAATCTAGAAAGTTCTGGAATAATACAAGGGTATAATGGGCATCCACAAATATATATTTCATAACATTAACAAAATTATTTTATTTTTAATTGAATTAAACATTATTGCAAAAGTAACAAAATTTGAAGAAAAAAAAAGTTTATAGTATTATCGAAGGCTGAAATAATATGTAGCAGTATTGTTTAATAATATTTACCTCATTTTTTTTACAAAAATAATACCAAATAAAAGACTACTTATATGTTAAAATATATTAGTTGGGTTTATAATCTTTATATGGAGCTTAATTATTGTTAAGAATTTTAATTGGAAGAAAGATATTTTAAATTATTATAAAATTATTTCCTTAAAGTAAAATGGGCGGAAATTTTTTTAATGAGATTATGACAAGTGTCATTTTAGGTTCGCTTTTAGTATAGGTTAATGATATGTAAAAATCAAATTCTTAAAGAGTGAGTCTTATTATAATATATAAGTAAGGTGAGGAAAATAATGATCGAAACATCATATATATATATATATAGCATGAGATTAATATAGAAGTAAGGCTTTCCCAAATTATAATGTTACACTAGTGGAAAAATTTCTATTTGTAACGGCTTAATCGTAACGGGCATGTTGTTGCCCGTTACAATAACATCATTCGTAACGGGCGAAATTAAGGTCCGTTACAAATAATTATCAATCTGCTTAAAAAAGTAGTATTTGTAACGGGCGGTAAGGTGTCCGTTACAAATAAATACTTATTCGTAACGGGCACCTTTCTGTCCGTTACGAATAAATATTTATTTGTAACGGAAAACTTACCGCCCGTTACAAATACTAAGTTATTCGTAACGGACATTTTTTGCCCGTTACAAAAAGTACAATCAAAACGTGATTGACCAACTTATTTGTAACGAACTTAAAATGTCCGTTACGAGTAAATGTTCAAATTTAGCCCTCAATTTTTTCAATCCCCATTTTTCAATTCGTCATTTCGTCCCTCATTCACTTTTCCCCATTGAAGCACAATCTTGATCTGTTCCCCATTGAAGCGCAATCTCTTCTCTGGTGCCTTCTCCGTCGCCGGTCCTCGTCCCTTCTCTCCCTTGCAAGCTTCGATCCTCTGTTTATGCGGGTGTTGGGATCGTTTTCGCCAGTCCTCTCTTTCTCGCTTTGTCTGTCGCCGGTGTTGGGATTGTTGGGCGTGTATGTGCTGGAAATTGGAGGCTGCCAGCAGTTCGGGTTATCTGAAGAGCTCCGGTGGGTAGTGGTTTGTTGGGTGGTGGAAATTGGAGGCTGCCAACAGTAGGGGTTATCCTCAACCCTTTCTCCCTCGCAAGTTCCTCGTTTCCCTCGCAACTCCGGTGGGTGGCGATTTCTTGTGGTTTTTTCCGGCGGCCATGTGAAGAACTCAAGGTAATAAGTTTAATTTACTCAAAGTAATAAGTTTTATTTTTTTGTTAGCCTTAATTTTTAGAAAAATTAAATCTGTTAAGTTTGTTAGCCAATTTTTTTGGTAGTGAGGTGAAGAACAGTTGATTTTTTTTTTCCAGTTCAATCATTTTTTGATTTTTTTTCAGTTGAATTTTTTAATTATTTTTTTCTTTGAATTTTAATTACTATATTAATTTTGTTATCATTTTTGTTTGAATTTAGGTCATTTGTATATGAGAAATTTCTACTACTGATGAAGAATGTGAAAATTTGATATCAATTTTAAGTCCTAATCTGATTTATTTTAGATCATCAACATTTTGAACTATTTCTGTTCTTTTTGAACTTGAAGTTTTGGTTTTCGATTCATTGTTTTTGCTTTAATTTTTTCTTGATTTTAGATGATTGTTGATTGAGTGATTACTGATCACGTTTTCGCCATTCTGATTAATTTTTGGTTTATGCTGGATATATTAGGGATTATTTTAATTTATGTAAGAATTCATGATTGTTGATGAAGTAAGAGTAATTGAGAAATGGTTTCAGCTTAATTTAGGTATGTTAATGCAATTATTGATGAAATTTGGTTGGGGAGAGTGATGCTGAAAATACTGACACAATTTCCAGGACTATATTCCTGAGAATATGAGGTTTGATAAAGAATTGGAGTTTCGAGTAGTCGGGATATATGTGAGGGGACAGATTGGGGTTCCATAGTGCACCAGGACGGTATATACATGAGATTCAAGAAATAATGTACTATATGATAAGTAGATTGACCAACTAATATAACTGACTAGCTAGTCAACAAGAAATGACCTGACAATAATATATGGTCGCTTTAGTAAGGATTTTTTTTTTTAGAGTTCAAATACATTTGGGGCGTTGAGCTACATAATAAGGGTTACGATATCAATGGATTTACTTTTTCCACTTGTCATCAAGATGAAAAAAGTGTGCAACAAAATAGTGGTGTTGTCGTGGTTGCATCTTCTACTGAATACTCAAGTTCTAGGAATAAAGGCCAGTTGAAGCTACACAGGCATATTACGGTGTCATTCAAGAAATCTGGGAGTTGTATTATGTTGATTTCACAATTCCTTTATTTTGTTGCACATGGGCTGATAACCGTCGTGGTATGAAAACCGATGAGTTATTTGGATTCACCTTGGTTGACTCTAGTCGATACATTGATGGTGAAGAGCCTTTTGTATTAGCCTCACAATCGAAACAAGTATTCTACATCAAGGATTATATAGATCCGCAATGGCGTGTTGTAGTTGAAGGCAAGAGAAAAATTGTGGGTGTGGAAGATGTTGTGGATGAAGAAGAGTATGACCAATTTGATGACATCCCGCCTATATCAATGGGAGTGAAACCTCTACAAGAAGGGGAAGATATTGTTGATGATGTAGAGTATGATCGTGAGAAAGGGTTAGTGGTTCCTATAACTACAACCAAGGTTTTTGTTATTGTATTCCTTTAACAATAGTATTTTTTTGCAATAAATATTGAATTTATTAAATTGGTATATATCTAAATCATTAATTGCTTTATTGTATAGTATTTACATTAATATGATTTTATTGTTATGATTTTGATTCTAATTCTTATTAATTTCATTTTTTGTGTAGGTGTAGGCATACTACAATGGAAGAAAACATAGATGATCATGATGGACAGGAACAATCTGGTGACATGGATGCCTCCACTTCCCAAGTAAAATCTTCTAAAAAAAGGGACGAGCCCCGTCTAGAGCAGTCCAAACAACTACACCCATGTTCCTCGAATTTGATGAGTTTGAAATGCCTATTGGAAAGTGGAAATCTTCTTATGGGAAGCAAATTGGTAATTGTGCTCAAAGAGTTAACATTAATGTGAAGGGATATCCGAAGTATGATAAAGTTCAAAAGCAAAACTTGTGGGAGGAGAGTAAGGTAATTAAGATATAAATATGGGTTATTGCTCTAAATTTAATGATACTTAAAATTAATTGTGAATATTAACATTCTCTAATTTTGTGGCGGAAGTTCAACATTGATGATCCGAAGGGTAGTAAAGAGAAGAAGTTCCACGAAGCTGTTGGTGCTAGATTTAGGAAGCACAAGTCTTGGTTAGTTTCACGATTCATTACTAAGGAAACTGCACCTCCGCCCTGACTCACCAAGTGCAAACATTAAGCCCTGGGAGCTTTATGAAGGTTACATCATAAAAGAGCAATGGAAAGAGTTTGAGACATATTGCAATACAGATGAATTTAAGGTGTGTAAGATATTATAAAAGTATTTTTCACATACTTTATTTTAACTACAATACTACTTACAATAGCTTTTCATTTTGTAATAGGCTCTGAGTGAAAAAGGCAAGGAAAATGCAAAGAATAATAAGCATCGCCACCATCTAGGCTCCAAGAGTTATGAGAGGGCTCGAGTTGATTGGAGTAAGACCAATAGAATTCCAGCAGAATCTTAAACCTCAAGCACCACAGAGTCCACGACAAGCATTGTAATGAGTGAAAAGCTTAAAAACCGGTCTCTTTATTGGATTTTGGCCCGTCAAACTCGTCATGCAGATGGATCGTGGGCTATAGACCCGAAGAATGCCAAAACCCAGTAAATAGCCAATGCTATTGTAAGTGTTTTTCTAAGAAACCAAGTATACGTTTTTTTTCAGTTACTTGTTTATACTTTTGAGCTGATCAAGTTCTGATAAGGCCTTTTCTGTTTATTGCTCATTTCCTACGTTGTTTAATGGGAAGCCTTTTCTGATTAGTTCTGATAAGGCCTTTTCTGTTTATTGCTCATTTCCTGCATTGTTTAATGGGCTTCGCTAAATTTGAGGCCTTTTCTGATAAGTTCTTATCAGTTCCGATTAGTTCTAATCTGTTCTGATCAATTTTGAAATTACAGTTCCGATCACTTTTGAAATTACAGTTCTGATCAGTTTTGATCAATTCTGAAATTTCAGTTCTGATCAGTTCCGATCAGTTCCACGAAATCATAGTAAACCTGTTTCACCTGAAGTTGTTATTCATTCTTATAAATCTTTGTTGTTTATAAAGGTTCATATTGATTATGTTCTATAATTTATGTTGAATATATTTTATAACAAAAAAATTTTGTTTGATGAGAGTCTAATGTTTTACCATTGTTGTATAAATATTAAAGGTTTTTAAAAAAAAAATTAACCCTTACATTCATAAAAGAGTAGAAAATAAATAAATGGAACTACAGAAGGTTTATTATATTGATGAAACCTAAAGATTAACTTACAAATTTGGATAATACGAAGTATTATATTGCTAACTGTTGATCTTAAGATCAGAGTTAATAACCTCTCAAATCAGTCATTTTAAAATTAATCTAATACAAGTACTACATACTAGTAAGAATATAAAAGATCAGATGTTAAGAATATGAGGTAATGCATTCATGATCAAAAGGGAGGAGGAAAGAGTGAAAGTAGGGAATCCTACATTTCTGAGATGATGAGCCTTTCGGCACTTAGGCTGCCCTGAATAGCCCATCCTATGTTCTTTGGTCTCGTCAAGTTTAGTAGCAATCACTCGTTATTGAATTCGAGTTTTTGATTAATACCATAGCCATCTAGATAAATTGAAGAATAAAAGTATAGTTCCGATTTGTTCTGATCAGTTCCGATCAGTTCTGAAATTTCAGTTCTGATTAGTTCCGATCAATTCTGAAATTTCAATTGTAATCAGTTTCGATTAATTCTGATCAGTTCCGATCAGTTTTGAAATTTCAATTCCAATTAGTTCTGATCAGTTCCAATTAATTCTGAAATTTCAGTTATGAAATTTCAATTCTGATCAATTTCGACCAGTTTTGAAATTTCAGTTCTGATCAGTTCCGATCAATTCTGATCTGTTCCGATCAGTTTTAAAATTTCAGTTCTGATCAGTTCCGATAAGTTTTGATCAGTTCTGAAATTTCAATTTCGATTAGTTCCGATCAGTTCATTTCAGGCCTTTTCTGTTTATTGCTCGAGTCCCCGCCTGTTATCATGTTCACTGCCATCATTGTTCTATGATGTATATGCTGATCAGTTCTAATTAGTTCTATGCATATTGCTTTATATGTTGATCAGTTCTACGCTTTAGATGGTGTAGGCTATAAGTCTCTCTATTTATGCATATCATTTTTTTTTTCAATTCAGGTTCTTGTTCTTCCATATCTTATATATGTTTTATTTCTTTGGGAATAGTTGGAAAAATTGCAAAAGAATGATGAAGGAAACAATTCAAGTGATGATATTGGTATGGATGCCCTCAACAAGGCTTTAGGAAAAAATGATCACCGCGGGCATGTAAAAGCACTAGGAAGGTGTAGGGTTGGAGTTAGTCACACACAAGTATTTGGGAAGGGATACTGAAAGGGTAAATCATCCGGCCAAGGTGGATGCTCATTGGAAGAGTTAGAATCAATGAAAGCTACCCTAACTCAAGAATGGGAGGCGAGGCTAGAAGAAAAGGTTGAAGAGAAGATTCAAGAGAGGATTCAAGAGAGGATTGAAGAGAGGATCGAAGAGAGGTTGGAACAACGTGTGGCAATGTAGGTGAAAGCTTACCTCGCCAATTTACTACCACAAATGACCGGTGACGTGGAGGCATTTCAAGGAATGCAAGTGATGGTGACCATGGAGGCAACACAAAGCCCTCGTGTAATAGAGGTATATGTCTTATTAACTAATACTAAAGATATGACTTCACATGGTTAACATGTATAATATTGATCGAGTTTTTTGTATTATGTAGGTAGCCACTAAATGTCGCCTAGCATTGAAAGATGAGTACAATCAAAATTTAGTGGTTGTGGCAGATGGAACGGTATATCCTGTTACCGGTGAAGTTACTCACAACCTCAGAATATTAGCATTATAGAAATATTAGCATGAGAATATTGTAGAAATCTTGGAGAATATTACAAAAATTACTTAATATAAAATATATGCATATAAGAATGTTTCATTAGGTGAATATTATAGGCTATAAATAATTTTTTGACAAAAAAAAAGACTAAAAAAAAAGGGAAAGAAAAATGGAGGGATAATTTTTAACCAGTGAATGACATGTGGCATAACTGATTTCGCTTTTAGTATTAAGTTAAAGATTTTAATTTTTGCTCGAGTTGTCTATTAATCGTGAGATTGAGTTTCGTCAATGCAAAAGTTACGCAAGATTAATGGGATTAGTGTTTGTTTCCATAATTAATTTAAGATAAATCTAAATTATATAGTATAATTAAAGTTTCCACTTTCCTAGGGTTAATTTTTATTTTTTTGAGTTCTAGCTATGTGTCCTATAAATATGTTTTCGATTTTCATTAATAAAATTAGAGTGTTATGATTATTTGAATTGATTAAATCGTATTGCTTTAGTTTTTGCAATTAAACTAACAATTTTGATCGAGATTTTAAAATTAAATTCTCAAATTTTGCGATTGATTTGAGTCTATCCCAAACCCTATAATCCCCCACCTGAACCCATATCAAATTGTTATCAAGAGCCTTAATTTTTAAGAACTTTTCAGTACATCACGATTTTGGAAGTGCTCTATCACTACTACAAAATTGACCTTAGGTAACACCAAATGGTATTACTTTGAAGGTTAGAACCTTAATTAATGTATAAGTAACACTTTTGTAACACTTTGACATCATGTATCACTTGATTGTAACACATTGATATTAAGTAACACTTAATTGTAGCACTTTGATATCATGTAGCACTTGATTGTAACACATTAATATTAAGTAACACTTAATTGTAACACTTTGATACTAAGTAGCATTGTATTGTAACACTTTAATTTGATGTACCACATGATTATGAACTATATATTAGGAGTCATTATTAGACCGTAACACTATTATAATATAAATACTTTATAGCAATTGTAAGATTTATTTGTAATTAACATCATATCACTGGTCCACTAGTAGAAAAACACAAATAAGCATAAAAAAAAAACCATGTTCATAGGGGGAGCCGGTACCCTTGTATGTTAAGGGCAACGGTTTTCCCAAATCCCTAACCTGTAAAAGCCCCAACACCTAATAATGTCCTATATACAATGCTCGGACCTTTTTGCCCCTCAAAATGTTAAGACATTTCTAATCCACAGTGCTCTGACCTATTTTACCCTCAAAAAGTGTAAATATAGCCCACTTTCTCTCTCCTAATCTCCTCCCCAATCCATTGAGTTTTCCAGGCATACTGTGATTTATCTCTTCCTATCCATTGGAGCGTGCTTAAGTTTTCTCTACTCATAAAGCATGCAAAAAACCAGCTTTTTCCAATGGTTCTGCGGCTTCACAGCTTTAATCTCATAATCGTTTCCCTTTATATGCGGCTTCTAGGCTTTCTATTCTCCATTGAAAAAACATAATTTTGAGGTAAGGTTTTATTTCTTGTAATTAATCATCGAATATCAATTTTAAAATCTAGGGTTTGTCAAAGTTTACTTGTTAGTATAATCAATTTACGGTTCTTCTAAACTATTAAACTATTGGTTATACTAACAACAGACTCTGTTGCTAAACTACTCTCATTCAGTTAAGAATTCTGGAATTTACGTCTGTTTTGGTTAGTTTGGAAGGTCGATTTCGGGTGGCTTTATCTCCTTTGTTACAAGTCTTTTTCGACAATTCTTTTTTTGAATCTGGATATTTTTTTCTCAAAATTTATTTAGCTGCATAACTATTAAACTAGGGGTGTTATTCTTAAAGACTCTGTTTTGCGTCAATTTGCGTAGACACCTAAAAATGTGTCCCCAAAACCAAACCCCATGATGAACAACCTTTCACTGCCATTATTAGTCGGGTTGAGTATTTAATCACGGAGTTCTTAAATCCATATTCAATCCCAAAAAAATTTTTCATAAATCAACCAAATTCCTAGCCCATTTCCCCAACCATAACTTATTTTCCTCTTTTCGTGCCTTTAAACCCAAAATCATTCATTTCGTGTCCCTTAAAATCATTTATTTCGTGTCTTTTTATAAAAACGTTTAGACCAATTTATTTTGGTCCATAATCTGGGTCCAATGATTGAATATTTGGATAGGGTTTGAAAAGAGGTTTCCAACGATATATTATAAGTTCAAATCTGAGTTATAGCGAATAAGTTATGGTCAAAATACTAAACTGGGCCTAAACCGAACCTAAGCCCACCTTATCTACGACCCAATGATCATGTGGAGGGTCCAAAAGATTTAATTGTTAGGTTTTGGTGAGTCCGACTCTTGGAAACAAACCCAAAAACAAGACCGCACTCGCAATAAATAAAACCATAAACGTAATTAAATTAATCTCAAGATTAAGATAAAACGATTACCTTTGGAGCGTGCTTCGCCCGATCACTTGGGCTCTTACTTGAAAGCTAGCTTCGAAATTACGAAGCCTTTGACGATGATCCACCCGCAACAACGATCACCGACAAGGTCCAATGTCTTGAAGTTAGCAAGAGCCGGCCGATAAACCCGAGTAACTGAGTTTAAAGGCTTTCACTAAATGTGATACCTTTTCTAACTCTTGAGTTCAAGGGTTTTCACTTACTTGTGATCCCCTTTCCAGCTCTTACTCAAGCATCATTTCCAATGCCCT